TGCGTGTGCCGTACGCCTTGCGCGCGGAGTGCGACATCTCAGCAATGTGCCTCAAGCCGCCCACTCCACACTGCTTTGGTGGCACGTCCACCCTGATAAGGACATCCAGTTCTGCACTTTGGATAGTACTAAGGTAGACCTACTAGGGGTGATAGGACCAAGTTATCCTTCAGCCTTAGTGGTTCAAGCTATCCAAACTGCAGATCAGGACGTCTCCCTTGCAGAAGCGTGCGACGGCACCGCTGAAGTCAACCATGAAACCAGCGATGGCCACTGCCTTCCGGACAGTGATGGGGAGCGCGTCAGTGTGCACACACCTCGTGGTCCCCTGTCAGCCATTGCTGAAGAACCTGAAGCAGAAGAGGCTGCCGAAACATACCTAGCCCAGGTTGTGGCCGAACAGGCTGAGGTCGTTCCCGCTCTGAGGGAGATCTTCCACATAAGTGCCTTTGAGACCCTTGAGCCCGTGTCTGCAGCTGACCTGCTGAGCCCACCCATCTGCTACGTCGAGCCTACCCCCGTCTTGTCCGAGCCAGTTGACCACTACTGCCATTACCGCCAGTCTGGCCTCGATCCCTCATCCTATGGCTCGCTCCAAGAGCAAGATGAGCAAGGGAACGGGTATGTAGAGGTTTGGTTCACTAGGGACTTTGCTAAGGTTATAGGGGATACCGATAGGCTCGAAGCAGACGAAACATACGCCTTGCGTGTGTATGCTGCTGGGTTCAGAAACGCTGTCATCCAGCGTGAAAGCGATCTCCTCACCTCTTCGGAAATTCGCCAGAATCAGGCAGCGGTGGATGCAGCCACTCTTGAGGAGCTGCGGATCTGGATGAAGTATGGATGCTTTGAGCGTGCACCACGAGCCTCATCCCGCAACGTCATGGATTCCAAGTTCGTCACCAAGTGGAAGAAGACAAAGGACTCCTGCGGAACAGAGGTTCGTATCATCCGGCAGCGCCTGGCTCTCCGAGGTTTCAAGGACCTGCAAGCAGCCGAGCTTGAGGCGCACGCAGCCACAGGCAGCAGGATGTCCCAGCGTTTGCTTTGCAGTGAGGCAGCCTGCAGGCCCCACTGGCGCTTTGTGGCACTGGACATCAGCAAGGCGTTCCTTCAAGGCCTCACCTATAAAGAGATCGCCTCTCGAACTGGCGAGGAAGAGCGCGATGTCTGCTTCACCCTTCCCCCTTCTGCTGTGCCTTTCCTCAGGCAACTCGAAGGTTTCGAAAACTTCGATGAAAGGCAGGAGGTTCTGCGTTGTGTCAAGCCAGGCACAGGGTGTAAAGATGCTCCCAGGGCATTTTCTATGAAGCTTGCAGAATACACTCGCAGTGAGAAAATCGGCCTCAAACCCACTATGTTTGACGCTGAACTTGAGGTCAAGCATAGGAATGGCGAGCTGGTCCTGATCCTGGTTAAGCACGTTGACGACTTGAAAGTCGCAGGCGAACCCCAGGAAGTAGAGGCCCTGATCCGTCACCTGGAGGCAGGCTTTGGAAAGCTGACCTTCAACGAGGCTGAGTTCACCAACTGCGGCCTACACCACCGTCGCTTGCCGGACGGCACTGTCAGCATGGACCAAGACGAATACATCTTGGCAATGCGGCCCATCCGCCATGCTGAGCTCACTGGCCGCCCCAGCACAGAGCCGTGCAGCGCAGAAGTTCATCAGCTGTACCAAAGCTTGCTTGGTGCTGTTGCCTACGCCCTTCTCTCGCAGGCCTGGGCCGCTGTGTTCGTCATTGCCCTTCAAAGGCGCACTTCCAACCCTCTTAACATCCACGTGCGCCGCCTCAACCTGCTCCTTGCAGCCATGCAGCGCAAACTACATAAGGTTGTGTTTCCTGCAATGACATGCCAACGCCGCCTCGTGGCCTTTTCAGACGCATCCTTTGACAAAGAAGGAGACAGCAAGGGCTACGGCATGCGAGGCTCTGTGTTCCTCCGGTGGGGCGTCAATGCCCAAGGCAAGGAGGTATGCCACTTGCTTGAGGCTCAGTCTCAGAGTCTTAAACTTGTCACTCGGAGCACTTTCTCATCCGAGACCCTGGCCGCAGTGGGCACAGTCGACCAACTGGTCCCGATGCTCTTTGCCTTTCAGGAGGTCCTGAAGGGACCCCTTTCCAGTCAGCAAGCCAGGACACTCCGTGAGAAAGGCGGCTTCGCAATGGCATCCGAGCTCATCATCGATGCCATGAACTTGTTTTGGGCCCTGTCCGCAACCAGCCCTCGAATGCCAGCAGAACGCACGCTGTTCGTGCACATTAACTGGCTGCGCGACTTGCTTCAGTCAGATATGCCACGTGTCCTGAAATGGATGGACACACGCGGCATGCTGGCAGATGGCATGACTAAGGGGAAGATAGATAGGGGCCCATTGGTCGATGCAATGTCTGGCAAACACACTCTGCATCCAGACACTAAGATATATAGGCCCCTAAAACCTCAACCTTAAGCAGCCTGCAACGTCCGAGCACAAACACACACAAACGAGCACACCCGACTAGTTAGGTACCTCTGTAGCTTGACCTGTACAGTAGTCTCCTACTTTGGCGCTGCAGCATTGGGAGCTCACAGTATCAGACAGAAGCCCATAGAGGTAAAAGATATGCGACCGCCATGCACTCTTTTTCTTATTCTGCTTCTCATATTGGAAGCCCGGGCCTTGTCAACTTCGCTTCAAAACTCGCCAGGATGCCCAAGCACCCTTCAGAATCTAAAGCGGGCTTCGGGGGGGGGGGGGTACTAGTAGGGTTTAGGGTTTAGGGTTTAGGGTTTAGGGTTTAGGGTTTTAGGGTTTTAGGGTTTTAGGGTTTTAGGGTTCAGGGTTCAGGGTTCATCTAGGGTTTACGGTGTGTTTCGGGTTTAGGGCTAGGGTTTAGGGGGTTGGCTATTGGGTTGAGGGTTTAAAGTTTAGGAGACAATCTTTTTGGCTTGGAAGTTAATTTAAGCATGATCCCTTTGGGAGAACTTTGGCGTGGAGGGTGGGGGAGGGGGGGGCGGAGGAATCCCCTGCAACTTTGACAACCCTAAACCCTAAACCCTAACCCTAAACCCTAAACCCCAAACCCTAAACCCTAAACCCTAAACCCTAAGCTCTGATGGGTCCACAGCAAGGTACGGAGCTGCAAGCTGTGCGTGAGCAACTTGACAAGACCATGAAGGCTGGGATCCTTCTAGGGCTTTGGATGTTTAGGGTTCAGGGGTTAGGGTAGTTTAACGTTTAGGGCTTGGGGTTCAGGGCTTTGGGGTTAGGACGTTTAGGTTGAGTGCTTAAATTTCCTCATAGGCATGGTGGGTTTCACCTCTGAAGGACCTATCAGCGCCCGCTTCAACGGCTAGCGCCAGTGCCGCCGACCCCACGGCAACGCATATCGGGGGATGTGAGAGGATTTGCTGATTGTGTTCTTGTTTCGGGAAGCGTTTGTTGCTTTCATTGCTCTTTTTTAACGTATTTAGCACGTTGCGTACATCATAGGGACCATGCAGGTGCGCAATCTCCATGTCAGGTGCAGGGCTCTTTACGCCCTGCGGCCCTGAAAGTCGATTGTTTACGGTTTAGGGTTTGGGGTTTGGGGTTTAGGGTTTAGGTGGATGCGTCTGGAGTCGTACAACTCTGCGCCCAGGCCCCAACGCTGGGCAAGTAAGTCTAGGAGTAGTTGATGCCATACAAGGAGGGGCCCTTACTATACTAGCTGTAGTTGAGGGACTTGGGTTCTTATAACTCTACTTATAGCTAGGGGGCCCCTCCTTGTAAGCTCGTTTTGATGGGTGCAAAGTCATGAGGAATAGGGATTATTTTATAACCCTAAGCCCGAAACCCCATTTGAGCTCGGAAGTGTTGGCCTGTGAGCTCCGTTCTTTGCACCGTACTGCCCTCATAATATGAGGGTAGTACGGTTTTCATATTATAAATATCATGAAGTACCCCCGGGCCTTTGTGAGAGTCCCTACTTTTCAGCTTGTAGTCTAAACCCGCAACCTGATAACCTGCACCAGGCGCAGCAGAGCGCGTCCCTCCTCTCAACCGCTGCTCGCAGGAACCCCCATGCAGAGCTGGCTTCGGGGTTCAAGGTTTGTATGGTTTAGGGTTTAGAGGGTAGAGGGTTTAGGGTTTAGGGTTTCGGGTTTAGGGTTAGGGTTTAGGGTGTTCCGGGTTTAGGGTGTTCAGGGTTTACTTGGGGTGTTCAGGGTTTTGGGTGTTCAGGGTTTGGGGTTCAGGCTTTGGGGCTTCGGGTTTAGGGCCCAGGGCTGAACCCGACTCCGGAATCTGTAAACCCCACCCTAGCTTAAACCCTACGTCTCCCAAAAAATCAACGAAACACCCAAAACCCCTGCATCCCTAAAGCCCGAAATCTGTACCCCTGAGACTCTAAACCGCCAACCCTAAGCCCCTCCTCTCAAACCCCTCCCCGGCCGCGTCCAGCAGCTTGCCCTTTCAAGAGTCGGCATGGAGGTTGGGTGTTCTTGGACATAAGCTTTAGGGTTAAGGATTAAAGGGCTCTGTGATAGAAGGCCTAGATTTTGCAGAGGTTTCAAGACCTTTCAAGCGACCCCGGGTGCGTGAGGGCTGTAGTTTCCTAAGCCCTAGACCAAAAACCCTACCCCCCCTGAACCCCAAACCCCAAAACCCTCAACCTCTACGCCACATGCGAGGTTTTAGGGCCGACCCGGGCTCATTCGGTCTCTTTCTTGCAGTGATCGCTGCTGACAACCCCCCCCCCCCACCCACCCCGCCCCCCCGTAGGGTTTATAGGTTTTAGGGTTTAAGGTAAGGAATTCAGGTCCATTAAACCAAGCTGCCCTAAACCCTGAACCCTAAACACTGAACCCTGAACCTTGAACCCAACCCCAAACCCCAAACCCTGAACCCTCAACCCTAAACCCTAAACCCTAAACCCTAAACCCTAAACCCTAAACCCTAAACCCTAAACCCTAAACCCTAGACCCTAAACCCTAAACCCTAGACCCTAAACCGCAGCTTCTCCTCTGCGCCAACCATGGCGGGAAGTGATTTGGGAGCGCTGGGTCTGGCGACTTGCCTGGCTTAGGATAGTCTAAGGTTTAGGGTTTAGGGTTTAGGGTTTAGGATTTAGGGTTTAGGGTTTAGGGTTTATAGGGTTTAGGGTTTAGGGTTTAGGGTTTAGGGTTTACGTAGGGTTTAGGGTTTAGGGTGTAGGGTTTAGGGTTTAGGGCTTCGTTAGGGTTTAGGATTTGGAGTTTAGGGTTTAGGGTTTTCAGGGTTTAGGGTGTAGGGTTTGGGGGTTTAGGGCTCAGGGTTTGCAGGGTTTAGGGCTTAGGGGGGTTGCTAGTGTTCGGGCTTCTATACCAGGGCTTTAACAATTAGAACAGGGTTCTGGGGGATATTATGCTATATTTAAACTCTACAGACCAGAAGGGACTGAGTTTTAGTAATTTGTCCGATTGTAATTTTGAGTTTTACGGGTTGAGGGTTTAGGGTTTGGGGTGTAAGGGTGGGGGTTTAGGGTTTAGGGTTTAGGGTTTAGGGTTTAGGGTTTAGGGTTTAGGGCTTAGGGCTTAGGGCTTAGGGCTTAGGGTTGAGGGTTTAGGGTTTAGGGTTTAGGGTTTAGGGGCTGAGGTTTAAGGCCTTGGGTTGACGTGGAAGTTCTGCTTTGTGTTTAGGTTTATCAAGCTTAGGGCTTGGTTTTTCAGGCTGGCAGCTTGCTTTTATCGGGCTTTCTGAGCAAATTTCCTGCTTCGAGACTTCCCGATCAGACCCGAATCTCTAAACCCTAAGACCCAAAACCGAAAGAAGCCCAGGAAGTTTCTTCGCCCGTGTGGGTTCGTGTCGACGGAGATGAGGCGGGCGGTGATGGATGTAAGTTTGTGGTTTACTTCCGGTTCTCGGCTTTGGGAGTTCAGGCTTTTGGGGTTTTAGGGTTTAGGGTTAGGGGTGTTAGGGGTTTCAGTGTTTGAGGGTCTTAGGGGGTGTGTGGCCTTTGCGCTTGATTTCCCGAAGCCCTCTCAACCCCTGAAACCGAGTGTTGGTAGTTACCATATATATATAATCCTTCTATAGAAGCCCAGTACCCTGATGGAAGCCTTCTACATGTGTATGTACATATATATATATATATATATATTTCTAACCATACATTTGTTTATATATAAATATATGTGTGTGTGTATATAGAAAGGGACCTACCCCCTCCCCCCCCTCCCCCCTTCGCTAGGCAACTCCCTGCCTGAACTTGTTCTCACGACTTCGGCATTGACTTGAGATGTCTTGTCTAGGTTGGATCAGGCTGGGTGTGATAGACTCTTTGCTTACAATAGGGTTGAGGGCTTTGGGGTTTGGGGTTTAGGTCATTCGACACGTCTCCGGACGGGAGCTTGCCAAGCTGATGCAGCTGAAGTCTCACCTTCCAGATACCACGAGGGCAACATTGCCTTGGTGCTTGAAGCCCTGTTCCGGGCGCACAAGAGTTAATACTGGAGCATAAATACATGTTGGTGGCATTTCCTGCATATGTAAAACGTAACCTATACTAACCGAAGTTCCCAGTCCAACTAAATCTGCGACTGGCCGTGGATGTTGACATCAACAAGGCCGGAGAACGCCGGTGGCACGACACCTGTGTCCGTTGCAGCTCCGATTGAGCCAAGCAAACGACAGTTGTAGGCTGAGAAGGTGCTGACAAGCCGCACTGCTTGACTCTAAACCCTCAACCCTAATTAAACCCGAGACCCAAGGCCTAAGCTCAAAGCCGTCCAGGTCTGGAAAGGCGGCGTTGTGAAGGGCCTTGATGATGAGGGCGACCTCATTGTCGAGGCGAGATGAGCTTGTTGAGGCTTCTGACTGAACGCGCGGCGGGGTTTCTGCGAGTCCGCGCTGCTGTTAAGGCGTGTCACTTGAGGGATTGCATTTCGGGGGCTTCTTGGTAGCCCTTTACCCTTGGTTCTGGGTTCCCTAAACCCTAAACCCTAAACCCTAAACCCCAAACCCCAAACCCCAAACCCTAAACCCTAAACCCTAAGCCCAAAATAGGGTGCCCGTTTATAATATGGTTGCTGGGCCACCATGTCCTTCTCTTCAGGATGATCTCAGGGTCTTGGCACGTAAGTCTGCAGGGAACTCGTGCAGAACAACGTGCTTGATGCCTTCTGGAGCAAGCCTATATGAACGCCCTAAACCCCAAACCTTAAACCCCCAAACCCTAAACCTCAAACCCCAAATCCCAAACCCTAACCCCAAACCCCAAACCCTCAACCCTAAACCCGAAAACCCCAAACCGTAAACCCGAAAACCCTAAACTCTAAACCCTAAACCCTTAACCCTAAACCCTACCAGATCTCCACCTGAAGAGGTTCGAGGTCCGGGCGCCCGGCCGCGCTGGGAGGAGGTGGTGACCTGGCCAGGGCTCAGGGGGCTGCAGGGGGTTTAGGGTTTAGGGTTTAGGGTTTAGGGCTTAGGGCTTCGGGCTTCGGGCTTAGGGCTTGGGATTTAGGGCTAAGGGTTTGGGATTGCTTGGGGAAACAGTTCGATCTTGCAGTGCCGCTTCTTCTCTACAGGGCGAGGGTTTGGGTTTGAGATCCGGGTTGATTTGGATTATGAAGCCTTTGCATTAAGGTATAGTAAATCCCATACCAAGTAGCGGCGTGGTACTGTGCCCCCTGTAAAAAACCCTACAAACCCTAGAAACCCGAACTGGGAGTTGGGAGGGGTACCCTAAACCCTAAACCCCAAACCCCAAAGCCCAAATCCTAAACCCTAAACCCTAAACCCTAAACCCTAAACCCCAAACCCCAAACCCTAAACCCTAAACCCTAAACCCGAATTGGGAGTTTTAGGAGTTGGGGGGAAAAGGAATGGACGTGCCCAGGTGGTCAGTATCGAGCAGCAGCCGCCTGAGTTCTGCAAGAGAAACCCCGAGCTGCTCAAGGCAGGTTTAGGGTTTAGGGTTTAGGGTTTAGGGTTTAGGGTTTAGGGTTTAGGGTTTAGGGTTCAGGGGGAGAAACAAATTCCTAAACTCCTAAATCCTAAACCCCGAACTCCTAAACTCCTGAACTCCTAAACTCCTAAACTCCTAAACCCTAAATCCTAAACCCTAAACTCCTAAACTCCTAAACTCCAAAACTCCTAAACCCTACACCCTAAACCTCGCCGGGTGCTTTGGAGTTTCCGAGGCTGATCGGGCCGCGGCGGTCGATGACCTGAGCCGCGCGGATCACGCTGAGCGTGGCGTCAAGGGGGGTAGGGTTTCTAGGGTTTAAGGGCTTCGGTTTAGGGTTTTGGGTTTAGGGTTCTGGGTTTCGGGTTCAGAAAAGAAGGCCCTTATCAGTTTAAAGTGCGGGTTTTGGGTTTCGGGTTCAGAAAAGAAGGCCCTCATCAGTTTAAAGTGCGGGTTTCGGCTTGAAAGTTTTCACGGGGACAGGTTCTGCGTCGGGTTTGGGGTTTGGGGGATGCGAAGCCTGGCACGGTGAAGAGAACCTCTCGGCTTGGTGCACTGATCAAGCCTCGATGCTACTCAGAACAACACATCCCTAAACCCAAACACCGCCAAACACTGCAAATCCTAAATCCTAAACCGAAAGGCCCTAAACGCCTAAGGCGCAAACCCTATGAGCCCTACTCACTTAAGACATCCACCCTGACCCCTCACAGCCGCATGTTTAGATACCAACAGAAGGTCTGCAAACCTCAACCCTTGAATCTAGAAGCTCTATAAACCCGGAAACCCTAAAACCCAAACCCTTAGGATTGAACCCCGTAACCCTCAACCCCAAACTCTTGTCTCCGAAGCTCCAAACCCTTAGCCCCCAGCCTGACGCCTGAGGCCCTAAACCCCTAAACCCTAAACCCTAAACCCTAAACCCTAAACCCTAAACCCGAAACCCGAAACCCGAAACCCGAAACCCGAAGCCCAAGGCTTGCTGTCTCTGTTGAATGAGCCAGAGTTGCTCCACGCCATCGAGAGCCGCTTCGCCCGGGATGTGACTCGGAAGAGTTTAGGGTTTATGGGGTTTAGGGTTTAGGGTTTGGAGGGTTTTGGGTTTCGGGTTTTGGGGTTTGGAGGTTTAATCATTTGGGTTCACGGTTTTGGGTTTCAAGGGGGGGGGGGGGGGGGGTATGGTCATTAAGGTTGATAGGGGGTTGTAGGGTTCACAGGGTTTATAGGGTTGATAGGGCTTATAGAGTTTTTGGGGTTAATAGCGTTCACAGGGTTCATAGGGTGTTTCGGGTTGAGGGTTTATAGGGATAAGGTTTGGTAAACTCTGAACCTGTGACTCCTGCAAGCACTGGACCCTAGAGCCCACCCCAACTGGCTGGTTCTTTGTGGTTAATCAGAGGTACCCTATGCAATCCCCTAAAGGGTGTACATATTTACTAACATTAAGAAATATATATATATATACATACATACATGTACACAGAGGGATATAGGGTACAGAACCTCCCTACCAAGAACCGGTAGAAAAAGCTCAGGTCATCTACACCAACACTGGCCCCCCACTGCACAGCCCTAAACCCTAAACCCTAAACCCTAAACCCTAAACCCTAAACCCTAAACAGGTCATCTACACCAACACTGGCCCGGTGCTGCTGGCCGTGAATCCCTTTCGATCGCTGCCTCGGCTCTACGACTCGCACTCCCTGAACCACTTCCTCTTGACCGAGGTGCCCTGGAACAGGGGGGAGGGGGGTTTAGGGTTTAGGGTTTAGGGTTTAGGGTTTAGGGTTTAGGGTTTAGGGTTTAGGGGAGAGGGTATCGGGTTTACGGTTTAGGGTTTTTGGGGGGTGCAAAAACAAGACACTAAAGCGGCGGATACCGTGGTCGGGCCTGCGTGTCACCTCGGGACATGCCTCCGCACAATTTGCATTTCCCCAAAACAGTATTGGGGCGGGGGGGTTGAGGGTTTAGGGTTCAGGGTTTACGGTTTACCCCAATTTCGGAAACCCCCGTAGACCGCTACGGAAACCGCAGCCTACACAAAGTAGGTCATGCTCCAGCTGGCCAAAACTCAGCCCGCGAGGATACGGATGAGCGCTTGCCGCCACACGTCTACAGGACCTCGTGGCAGGCCGTCTGCCGGCTCAGGGCTTAGGATCTAACCAGGAAAGTTTAGGGCATGGGTTTCTGACCTGCAGGCTTTCACGGCTAGACTTGCGTCGAACAGCCGCTAGCAAGCACCATCAATGCCCTTATCTTGGTCATAGTTGGTTAACATTTTACTTTGTTAAGGGTACTTAAGCCCAATAAGGAATAGGAATTAGAACTTTTACTACGATCCCAACCATGAACTAGTTATAGTCCCTCTAAGTATTTAGCCTTCGGCGGACTCTGAGACTGGCAATGACTTCTGCAAGACAGGATCCAATATGACTTCCAGCAGTGTTCCCTTAATTCCCTACATGACTTCCAGCAGTGTTCCCTTAATTCCCTACGTAGCTGCGAGATATGCTACCCGTATTCCCCTTTCTAATGAAGTAAGTCCCTAGACCCAACAAGCCCGAACGCTGAATCCATTCTGATGCCCCTCAAGTACGGCTGGCAGTTACCCTAAACCCTAAACCCTAATCTACCACCTGCTAGCTGCTGCTACCTGCTAGCTGCTAGCTGCTACCTACCTGCTTGCTTCGACCTGCTAGCTGCTGGCTGCTGGCTGCTCGCTGCTACTGCCAGCGGGCTGCTGGCTTCTAGCTGCTAGCTGTTAGCTGCGAGCTGCTAGCTGCTAGCTGCTAGCTGCTACTAGCTAGCTGCTAGCTGCTACTAGCTAGCTGCTATTAGCTAGCTGCTACTAGCTAGCTGCTACTAGCTAGCTGCTAGCTGCTAGCTGCTAGCTGCTAGCTAGCTGCTGGCTGCTAGCCCCCAGAAATGAGATGTGCGCCCTCCAGAAACCTCTAAGGTTTTGGGTCTTTGTGGAAAAAGGTTGAAGAAGCGGGTAATCAGGGCCCAGAGTCACAGGAGACAAGGGTGTTACGGTTCGTCGTTTTAGGGTTTAGGGTTTAGGGTAGATTTAGCGCTTTAGCAGTACGGGATACAGGGGCGTCGTGTGACTGCAGTCAGGCCTACCAGTTTATCAAGACCACCGGCGCCCCGCAGACGTCGCTGGGCCACCGGTGCCCTCAGGTTCAGGATTTAGGTAGGGTTTTAGGGTTTAGGGTTTTGGGGTTTTGGGTTGTAGGGTTCGGGGTTTAGGGTTTGGTGTTTGGGGTTTGGGGTTTGGGATTCACGCTTGAGTTTAGAGTGTTGGACTGAAGGTTAAGGATTTCGGGGGGGGGTTATAAGGGTTCAGGGTGTGAAGTTTACTGGGCATCCCGAGACCCTCATGTTCCCATCTTGTCACGCCAAAAAAAACCCAAGATCAAAGGACAAAGATATGATTGTAAATGAGATTTCATTAGTAATACAAAATTCACGGGCGTTCGCAAGCTCACTATAATATTATCATCAGGGGTTATGGTGTATTGAATGAATGATTGGTGTAATAACAGTGTGTGTGTGTGCTCTTGACATTAGAAGCGGGCCCAGGGATGAAGGGGGAAAAGGAGTGTCAAGAAAGCCTCAATGTCAAGGGCGTATAGAATGCATGAGTGCACAATTTAAGACCTTATTCGTCAGGTTCTCGTTTACCCCGCGAATGAAGGTAATAAAGTACTCGCGGGAATAGAATAAGTGAATGAGTAAACGGATGAGTCTCGAAGCCCCAGACCCCAAACCATTCGACGTTCGGGTTTAGGATGCGTAAAACCTAAGCCCTAAGCCCTAAACCCTAAACCCTAAACCCTAAACCCTAAACCCTACACCCTAAACCCTAAACCCTAAGCCCTAATAAGAGAAAAGACCCTTTGAGGATCCTCGTCTCTGGGGAGAGCGGGTCCGGCAAGACGGAGACCACGAAGCTACCAGTCGCAAGTTGGTTTGGTGTTAAGGGTCTTAGGGTCTTAGGGTCTGAGGGTCTGAGGGTCTTAGGGTCTTAGGGTCTGAGGGTCTTAGGGTCTGAGGGTCTGAGGGTCTGAGGGTCTTAGGGTTTAGGGTTTAGGGTTTAGGGTTTAATTCTAAACGCTGCAAACCTGAACTGGCTTGAGTCTTGGCTTGGCTTGTGGCTTGAGGTTCAGGGCTTCAGACTTCCTGGGTTTGAGGACTTAGGGCTTAGGGCTTCGGGCTTAGGGTTTAGGGCTTAGGGTTTAGGGTTTAGGGTTTTAGGGCCTATGCTTGTGTAGTAGTCCGGGTGCTGGATTTACGGTTTCAGGGTCTGGGGCGTAACGCGTGAGATTGTAGTGTGAGAATATGGACGTTGGGATCCCAGTTCAGTGGCTTAGGGTTTAAGCTTAAACCCTAAACCCTAACCCCTAACCCCCCCTAAACCCTGAACCCTGAACCCTAAACCCTAAACCCTAAACCCTAAACCCTAAGCCTTCAGGGCTACGGGATGGTCAGGTTGCAGCTTGGTAAAGGTCTGCAAGTACTCTGTGGTTTCAGTGTTTGATCTGGCTTTGTGTTTGGCCACTAAACCCTGAACCCTAAACCCAAAAAATCCTAAACCCTAATCCCTAAACCCGGATTCTTGAACCCCAAACTCTGATCTCCAGAACGCTTTTTTGTTCGGGGTTGATTGACACATGTTTTAGGTGTTGTTTTCTCAGATTCTGACTTCTTGGGTTTAGGGGGATCCTGTTGCTGGTCATCAAGGTTTCCCTACTACGTTCCGCCCCCTCTTTTACTCCCCCCCCCCTAGGTTCCCCCCTTAAATAACCCTTAATGAGGCTTAATGACCCCTGAATAGCCTTATTTCTAGGGGGAACCTAGGGGAGGGTTAGTATAGAGGGGGGTAGTAGGGGAGCCCATGAGATCAGATCGCCACATCGTCGGGGTACGAAAGCCGAGGCCCTGTGTCGATTTTGGAAGGCCCCATACCAGTAGCCTTCGCATTTGAGTCCCTACAGGGACAATAGTCCTAAGCTCATCTGAAGCAAGCAAAGCTATCCAACCCCCACCCCTCACCCTAAACCCGAAACCTCCCCCCCAAGCTTGTTGGGCTTTAGGGTTTAGGATATCCCTAAACCCTAGACCCTCAACCCTCAACCCTCAACCCTAAACCCTATAAACCCTAAACCCCAAACCCCAAACCCCAAACCCTAAACCCTAAACCCTAAACCCTAAACCCTAAACCCTAAACCCTAAACCCTAAACCCTAAACCCTAAACCCTAAACCCTAAACCCTAAACCCTAAACCCTAAACACTACACCCTAAACCCTAAACCCTAAACCCTAAACCCTAAACCCTAAACCCTAAACCCTAAACCCTAAACCCTAAACCCTAAACCCTAAACCCTAAACCCTAAACCCTAAACCCTAAACCCTAAACCCTAAACCCTAAACCCTAAACCAAAACATGAGCTTAGGGGTCCCAAGCCCAGGTTCGTGATGCGCTACCTGGCCCTCGCTGGCTCTGGAGGCTCTGAGGCCGCGCTGTCCGTGGTGGAGCGCCAGGCGGAAGCCTCTCTCTACCAGCAGAAGACGTCATGTAGGGTTTAGGGTTTAGGGTTTGGGGTTTAGGGTTTAGGGTTTAGGGTTTGAGGTTTGGGGTTTAGGGTTTAGGGTTGCGAATATCTGGCCCAAAGCACAAAGACCACCCCAACAGTCGCTTGTAGCCCCTGGAATTTTCGGAAGCCCCAGCCCCACGCCCCGTAAGTCCTAAACCCTAAACCCTAAACCCCAAACCCTAAATCCTAAACCCCAAACCCCAAACCCTAAATCCTAAACCCTAAACCCTAAACCCTAAACCCCCCTCAGCCCGTGATCCTGGTACGCTGGAGGTGCTCGAGTCTATCCCGCTTCTGGAGGCACCAGGGTGGGGTTTAGGGTTTTGGGTTCAGGGTTAGGGTTTAAGGTTTAGGGTTTAGGGTTTAGGGTTTAGGGTTTAGGGTTTAGGGTTTAGGGTCTAGGGTCTAGGGTTTAGGGTTTAGGGTTTAGGGTTTAGGGCTTCTAAGGTTTCGGGTTTTGTAGGGCTTCTGTAGAGGTTGGCAAGTGTCAGCCTAAACCTGTATCACAAAAACCTGAACCCCCTGAAACCCGAGTCCCCCTAAGGCCCCTAAACCCACCAGCCCGGGCCTTCTAAACCCGGCTGAAACCAGCGGTTCAGGGTTTAGGGTTTAGGGTTTAGGATTTAGGGTTTAGGGTATATGATTTTTTAGTATCATATGACGCAATAAGCATGTGAAATCCATCTTCTTAATGATTTTTACAGGGTTTAGGGTCTAGTTTTATGGTTTTAGGGTTTAGGGTTAACTTGCTTCATGGGTCAGAGTTTCAGCTGGGCTTGCAGAGCCCAAGCTACACCCCAACCTAAACCGTAAACCCTATAAACCCTTTAAACCCCCTAAACCCTATAAGCCCCATAAATCCCAAAAGCAACCTTAAAACCCTAAAAACCTCAAGTGCCCTAAGCCCCATAAACCCAATAAACCCTCAACCAGGCCTTCGGCAATGCCAAGACCCTGCGGAACGACAACTCCTCGCGCTTTGGGAAGTTCACAGAGCTGCAGTTCGGCTGCCCGGACCCGTCTGGTGTGTACAGGGTTGAGTCCAGGTTAATGGTTATGGGTGTAGGGTCTATAGTTTGGTACTTGAGGGTTTTATGGCTGTCATCCTGTCCAATGCATCTCCCAAAAGCAAACACAAAAGCCCTAACCATCTCAACCCTCAAAACCCGAAACCCCTAAACCCTAAACCCTACAAACCCTACAAACCCTACAAACCCTACAAACCCTATAAACCCTATAAACCCTATACACCCTATACACCCTATAAACCCTATACCCTATAAACCCTATAACCCCTATAAACCCTATAAACCCTATAAACCCTAAAGCCCTATAAACCCTAGAAACCCTCTAAACCCTATAAACCCTATAAACCCCATAAACCCTATAAACCCTATAAACCCTATAAACCCTACAAAAACCCTACAAAAACCCTCTAAACCCTATAAACCCTCAGCCCCTAGATACCTACCACTTTTTAGGGGTTTCGGGGTTCGGAAACTAGAGCTCTGAGCCCCTGCCCTACAAAAACCCTGCAAAACCCCACAAACCCTATAAACCCTGTACACCTAAAACCCTAAACCCTAAACCCTAAACCCTAAACCCTGTAAACCCCCTGTAAAACCTGTAAGCCGTAAAGCCCTATGCTATAAACCCTCTAGACCCTACAATAAGCCCTACAAATCCTACAAACCCTCTGACCCTCTAGAACCCTAGCAACCCCATAAACCCTACAAACCCTGTGGACCTTACGCACCCCATAAGCGCCGTATGCCTCATAGGCCGCCCTAAACCCTACACCCTACACCCCAAACCCTAAACCCTCAGCCCTAAACCCTAAACCCTAAACCCTAGCCCTAAACCCTAAACCCTAAACCCTAGCCCTAAACCCAAACCCTACAAAGCCAGGCCCAGCCCACCATGGCCCCCATGAAGCGACCCCGCGCCTGGCGGCGGCGCAGACGCACTGCTACCTCCTGGAGTCCCTCTGCTTCGGTGAAGATTCAGGGTTTAGGGTTTAGGGTTTAGGGCTCGGGTTTCGGGTTTAGGGTTTCGGGTTTAGGGCTAGTTTAGGGTTTAATTGGGGTTTCGGGTTTAGGGTTCAGGGTTTAGGGTTTAGGGCCTATGGGGCTTCTGGCGCGTACGGGGTTCGTAGGGTCTAGAGGGTTTATGGGGTTCAGGGATTGGGGATGTGAGGTTGAATACGGCTAACAGAGCCGAGTCGAGGGTTCTAGGAGTTAAGGTTGGCAGGTTTTGTGTTTAGGGTTCAGGGTTAAGGGCACCCCTAAACACCCTCAAGCCCATTGAACATCATTGGCTGCAAGATTCAGGGCAGGGGAAGAAAGTGCGATGTTCAGCGCTTGAACGGTCGTTCCGCAGAGCTTTCTTCCTTTTGCGGAGGTTTACCAGGACGGGCTATTATACCCTATAACTTCTTAACAAGGCCCTTTATAGGGTTGATTCTGGGGATTATAGGGCCGAATAGACCATCCTGGTAGGTTTTTTCGGTCTAGGCTTGAGGGCCTCGTGGGACATCGAGCACAGGGTCTGGCAGGGTCTGGGTTCAATGTTCAGGTTTTCGAATCAACGTTTGGGTTTAGGGTTTAGGGTTTAGGGTTTAGGGTTTAGGGTTTAGGGTTTAGGGTTTAGGGTTTAGGGGTTTCCCCCCCTTCTTACCCCCCCAACTGCCCCAGGAAAGTGCGGGTCGTGGGCTCTCAGCAGGGGGAGCGAAACTTCCACATCTTCTACCAGGCGCTCCCCTCGTTTCTGTCGGCTTTTTGGGGCCCTTTCTGCGCATTTTTGTTTGGTTGCGGGGGCAGGAGGGGACAGTAGCTAACCTTGATCTCAAAAAGGGCTATCCAGACAAAATCTTTGGGTCAATCCCCACGCCTGACATGGTTTCCGGCATGAACGAGCCTCCTGAGCTGCCTCAGTCACGCACTCAGACAGCTGCTTCATGAGGACGTGCCTCATCATGCAACATGCAAGAGTCTAGCCGAGTTGCTCTTCCCAAAGCCAGAATCTGAGTGAGGATCTGGGCCCTGCGTACAACGTAAGACTCCGACCCGGTTCCCAAAGCCCCACCAGCTCTTAAGCCCAGTACCCTACAAGTATCACAAGTATCCCAAGTACCCCAAAGTACTCTAAGCACCCTAAGCCCTGAACACTCCTCAAGCACCCGAAAGTGTCGGGCATTTGACGCGAGAGGTGTTCCTTCTGTTGAGCGTTTTCGGCCGCTGCCCCCAACAACGATACGGAAGTAATATGTCAGGCTCACGTCTGCACGTTAAGCCTAAGCCCTAAACCCTAATCCCCTACACCCTGAACCCTAAACCCCTCCACCCCCTTGCCTGTCAAGCCTCGTCCCCTAGACTCCATATTAACCCACTTGAGGCCCATGAATGAAGCAGTCTTAGCGTAGTTTCATGGTCCCTGAACATGGTCTTCCTTACCTCCTTCAAAGGTTTCTGATGCACAACTTGGGTTGTATAGGGTATATAAGGGGTATATAAGGGGTATATATGGGGTATATAAGGGGTATATAAGGGGTATATAAGGGGTCCCCTTTTTTAGGGGCCCGTTTGAAGGGACCACGTAACTGCCCTAAGAAGCAGGTGCTGGCCTTCTTCCGCGCGTGCCGTGCCGACATGCCCCCCGAGATCCAAGATCTGGCCCTGCCCAAAGGTGGCGAAGTGAAGATGTGCTGTTTGCGCTTTAGGGTTTAGGGTTTAGGGTTTAGGGTTTAGGGTCTAGGGTCTAGGGTCTAGGGTCTTGGGGTTGAGGGTTTCGGGGATGATGGCTTTTTGAAGGCAAAGGTCTGTGGCCTAAGGTTTTGTTGGCGAACGCCTCAGCGAAAGAGGTGTTCGGGTTCTGGCAACCCTAAACCCTCAACCCTCAGCCCGGAACCCGAATGAACCCTAAACCCGAAAACCCTAAACCCCAAACCCTAAACCCTGAACCCTAAAAACCATGAACCCGAACCCTGGTAGGATTCTAGGCACACCGTGAACCCAACCCCAAGTAGTTTTGAGTCCATGAGTCCAGCCTGGACATTGGGGGTTGAGGGAGTAGGGCTTTAGGGTCTTTCCAGGGTTTAGGGTTTGGGGTCCTTTCAAGGTTTGGGGGTTTGAGGGATGTAGGGTTTCGAGCTGTTGGGTTTTAGGGCTTCTGGGGCGGCCTGCGTGGTACGTGCTTACAGGGACCTCCATATTCTTGGGGATTTCTGAGGGAAGCCCAAAGCCCGAAGCCCTAAACTACTCTGCACCCTTCAAGTTGGGTTTAGGGTTTAGGGTTTTTAGTTTTTAGGTTTTTTTTTTTTTTTTTTTTTTGGGGGGGGGGGGGGGTAGTCTCAAAGGTGGAGTGTTCTGGGGCTTAGGGCTTTGGGAGTGTTGGGGCTCGTGGCTCGGACCATGGTCTTACTCAGCCAATAGTTGAACTTCCAACTTTTTGGGCTGCCTAGTTTCGTAGGAGCAATAATGTTTAGCCTCCTTCATCCGGGTTTCAGAGGGAGGGGGGTATATCCAGATCTGCTTCTACTGTCCGTGAACTTCGAGCACATGAGTTGAACCTGAGAGCCCCTTAGCCAGCGCTTGAAGCCTCGCGAGCAAGCGATCATGGTCACACGGGCTAGGTTGGCTTTTGCCCGGCTGCACTGGCCGCATCTGTGGAAGCCAGCTGCGATTGCAGTGACTCTGGCGAGTGCCGGACACAGCGTATGTTTTCCGCGCGGGCTTGGGCCTAGGCCCGGGAGCTTGCACGCCTCGGCAAAGAGCATGTCAAGCAGGATGGCCATAGGACGCCTTCATCCCAGGCTCGGATCTATTTTGGTGCGACCGCAAGCACGGGCTGTGGGAAAGACGAAGAGGCTGGCTATGGAGCGCGTTGCGGACACCCTCAGTTCCTTGGGGACGAAATGAACCCTAAAATTGAGGCCATAGAACCCATAGTACTTTAACTCCTAGTAAGGTATATGAACCCTAAACCGTTTTAGGGTTCATCTCGTCCCCAAGGTTTTGTTGACCGGGATACCGCTTTTATTGCCAGCTGGCAAGTCGGGAGTGACACTCGGGCCAGCGATGTACGTGTCTCTATATCCCCCTTGGGAATTATTTCATATTCTTGTTTATATAAAACCCAAGAGGATGTTAAACATATTAGGTTTTTTTTAAGGTTCTAAAGGGAGTATTGGTCTGGGTAGTACCTTTGGGACCTTTTGTGTATCTTCCCTGGGCTTAGAGTCTTAAGAGATCTTAGGAAGCACTCTTCTCGTCAGAGGCACTAAGCCCCTGAGACCGATAACCCTAAACCCTAAACCCTAAACCCTACACCCTAAACCCTAAACCCTCAACCCTAAACCCCCTCAAGGCCCACATAAGGTGTTGAGGTGCAAGATGGACGCATCTGCGTCGGCCTCGTGGCCTCCGATCCTTGGGTCGAGGGCCAGCTGGCCGGGGCCGTCCTGGACCATTTTTGGGAGCTCAAGATGGTGTCTCAGCTTAGGGTTTAGGGTTTAGGGTTTAGGGTTTAGGGTTTAGGGTTTGGGAGGGTGGGAGGGTGGGAGGGTGGGAGGGTGGGAGGGTGGGAGGGTGGGAGGGTGGGAGGGTGGGAGGGTGGGAGGGTGGGAGGGTGGGAGGGTGGAGAGGGTGGGAGGGTGGGAGGGTGGTGAGGGTGGGAGGGTGGGAGGGGGAGAGGGTGGGAGGGGTGGTGGAGGGTGGGAGGTGGGAGGGTGGGAGGGGGGGAGGGGGAGGGTGGGAGGGTGGGAGGTGGAGGGGTGGGAGGGTGGGAGGGGGAGGGTGGGAGGGTGGGAGGGTGGGAGGGTGGGAGGGTGGGAGGGTGGTGGGAGGGTGGGGGGTGGGAGGGTGGGAGGGGGGAGGGTGGGAGGGTGGGAGGGTGGGAGGGTGGGAGGGGGGTCGGGGTGGGTGGGAGGGGGTTGTCAAGTTTCGCACTGGTCTTTGAGTAAAAGGGGCTTGGGTTTAGTGTTTTGGTGCCTCTGCCACTCTTGAGAAGACCGGCGTATTGGGTCCTTGTTCTGAGGGAATCCTATCTCTTGGGGGACTATATTCGGGGTCCCTTGCTTTCGTAAACCCGAAGCCCTAAACCCTAAAACCGTAAAACCCTAACCCCCCCCCCCCCGCTCCCCCACTAGTATGATTTGCACATGGTAGAGGTCAAGGGCTCCGTGATCTTGGAAGTGGAGCTTGAAAAGGAGAAGAGAGGTCCCTGGGGACGACTGCTGGCCGATTCTGCATTCCCAGAGGAGACTTCGGTGGAGCCCGTGGAAGATGAGCTAGCAAAGCTCACCAAGAGAGCGCACCTTCTGTATGCAGAGGAGAAGTGTGAAGAGGCAGCGGAGGAGTTCTTGAGTGCTCTGGTCCTTTGTGACAGGCTGGGGCTTGGCGCGCTGACCGCCTGCTTACAATCTCGTCTATGCTTGTGCTGGGAACAGATCAACAAGAAGCCAGAAGCCCTGGAGGTTCTCTCCCATACCATCCCGATCCTGCGGCAGTGCTTCGAGAATTTCGGGGCCGCCAATGTCCTACAAGGGTTGAAAGTAGATCTTGTGAATGCAGAGATGACATTGGCCAGGATTCTGGAACAGATGGGTCAGCATGAGCAGTCTGTGACAAAGTTGCAGGAGCTCATACAGGAGTTCCCTGAACAGGTCGACCCTAAAATCCGGCTTGCAGATGCTTTGCTAGACAGCCTCGGCCAGACGCGCGAAGCGTTGGGTGTCTACGACCGTGTGCTTGAGCAGGCGGAGGACACAGATCTGGCCTGGGCGGCACTCTACAGCGGGTGCTACGCTGCCTCGCTACATGAGGACGAGCTCGCCCTGCAATATTTCAATCGCTTTCCCATGTTCATGGTTCTAACTCTAGGCGGCGAGGATCCGTTCCAGGAAGGGTTTCGGAAGCAGATTAGACTGTCAAAGTTGCGACCGAAACACCAACTCTGGAGCTACGTTGTCCAGAAGCGGATGTGGAGAGAAGGGAACTTTTGTCATAGTTGGGAAACATTTTACACTGTCAAGGGTACCTAAACCCAATAAGGAATACAGACTTAGAATTTTTAATACCCTCCCAACCATGAGTCAGGAAAGCCGATGATGATCCTGACTCGGCAGTTGAGGATCCCCTCAAGGGGCTCCCCGGGCTGCTCTCCAGCACTTGGGCATTTGTCGCTGGCACCCAGGTGGGCCGGCAGCTGGAAGACTCGCTCTTCTATGGGACCTACGAGATGCTCCAGCTTGCTATGCGGGAGGCAACGGCTGAAGGCTTGATCCTAGAGTTTGGTGTTTACTATGGATCTTCATTGCACATGCTCTCCTCCTTCTTTCCAGGAGAGACCGTGCACGGCTTCGACAGTCTTCAAGGCCTTCCAGAGGCCTGGAACAACCAGCCAGTTGGTGCCTACTCCACACGTGGCGTCAAGCCCCAGTTGCCAGCCAACGCTCAACTTCATGTGGGCCTTTTCAAGGAGACTTTGCCCACTTTCCTCCAGGAGCACACGGGGCAAGTGAAGTTCATGAACATCGACTGCGACCTTTTCTCTTCCACACGGGATGTCCTGACGCTGCTCGCTTCCCGGATCGGACCGGGGAGCGTGATGATCTTCGACGAGTTCGTGGGCCTTCCGAACTGGCAGCAGCATGAGTTTAAAGCCTTTGAGGAGGCCGTAGCCAAGCAGGGGTGGAAGTTCGAGTATCTCGCTGTGAGCCTGCTTAGCAACCAGGCGATTGTTCGCATTACGGGCTGAGGGATGGAGCTGGAAACGCCCGCAGTTCAAGAAGAAGTGCTCGTAACAGTAGTAGAATGACGGTAATCATCGTAACAAGAGTAAGTGCAGGTTGCATGTGCCCAGATGCCCCATAGTCGCCAAAGAGGAGCACGTTAACGCCCAGCATCTCAGGGCAAGCAACCCTAAACCCTAAACCACAAAGCCCGTAATGCCAGTGACTTTCAATGGCCTGGAGGCATGAGCCACAATCCGGAGGACTGGGGATGGGTTGAGCTGGAGGGTTGGGGTGGCTACGGATTTAGTTGTCTGTTCGGGTGTGGGATTATAGGGATGTATACATGATGTATACGGTTTATAGGGATGTATACGGTTTAGGGTGTAAGGTTTGGGAATTTAGGGGTTTAGGGATTTGCCATCTAAAAATGCTGAACCGAAGATTCGTCCATTATTGGGACCTGCCCAGCCGAGCTCCGTTGCCGCTTCAAGCCCATCTCCGGGCCTAGGGTTTAGGGTTTAGGGTTTTGGGTTTTGGGTTTAGGGATTAGGGTTTAGGGTTTAGGGTTAAGGGTTTTGGGTTTTGGGTTTAGGGTTTAAGGGTTGTAGGTTGGGGTGCTCCCCGTATACTAACACTTAATTGGGATGATTGCCCCCTTCTATCATCCCTAATTATTCAGGACGGCTAGTATCAGGGGGAACATCCCAGGTTTATGAAATCATCGAGCTGTGATTGGAGAAGAAATCAGGGAAGGATGCATCATGCAACTGTCTTTGCTTCGAGGACTTAGGGTTTGAGGTTTAGGGTTTAGGGTTTAGGTTTAGGGTTGAGGGTTTAGGGTGTTCGAGGACTACGCGTACCTGAATCAGTCAAGATGCTACAGCCTCGCCGAGCACGACGAGGCCACGTCACGTTGCATGCGTTGTAGGGTTCAGGAAAGCCCTGAACCCAAAAACCCTAAACTCTAAACCCCCAACCCTAAACCCCTAAACCCTAGACCTAACTCCCAGACCCGAAGCCCTAAATCCTAAACCCTAAATCCTAAACCCTAAATCCTAAACCCTAAATCCTGAGGATGCTGTACTGTTTAGGGTGAAGGGCCTTAGCTTCGGCTTCGGGGGGGGGGGGGTGGGGGGTGGAGGCCTTCCTAAACCTGAGAACCCAAGACCTCCGGTTTAGGGTTTAGGGTTAAGGGTTTAGGGTTTCGGGTTTCGGGTTTGGGTTTCAGGGTTGTTGACATGCAGGCTTGTTGAGATGCAGGGTTCCTCCCAGATTGGGGCTACATAGGCTTTACAGGATGGGGGTGAACAGGGCCGTATAAGGTTGATAGGATTTCTGGGGTCATAGGGTTTAAGGCTACAGGGGGCTTGGCGAATTAGACTTGGTGTTTTGGCACTGTATAACATTCATGTTGGATGTTGGTAGTGGCATGGCTCCTGCATTAGCAACCCTGAACCCTGGCCCCCAAGGCCTAAACCAGCACTTCTGACTTCTGATTCCCCAACCGCAAAGTCTGCCACAAGTACTGCTCTGAACTTCATAAGCCCTAAACCCTAAACCCTAAACCCTAAACCCTAATGTAGATTTAGGGCTTAGGGTTAAGGGTTCAGGGTTTAGGCTTAGGGAACCCATCCGCTGAAACCACCCCCGAAGTCCCATGAAGATCCGGATTCAATTGTGCAACTAGGGTTTAGGGTTTAGGATTTAGGGTTTAGGATTTAGGGTTTAGGGTTTAGGGTAATTGTGCAACTAGGGTTCAGGGTTTCGGCCTTGTTTGAAGTATGTGTCAAAGATGTGTGCCGTGCATAATCTCACATACCACTTCCAAGATACACTATATATATATATATATGTATATATTTATTTATTTTTTCATTCATTTTTCATTTTTTTATTTGTGTACACATCATATATATATATATATATATATGCAAGAATGTATACATACATACATATATATATATACACATATATACATCTAATGAAAATTCGTTGCATGCATGCACTACGAACACACAGCTAGACCTAGTGCATATGTCTATCACCCTTTTGCCCAAAGAACGAAACCCCTACCCTCATCCCGCTCCCCCCCAACCCGCAGTCCTAATCGCCCGTTACACCCTTCAGGACTCCGAGGGGGCACAGGGGCACAGGGGGAACTCCTAAACCCCAAACCCTAAACCCTAAACCCCAAACCCCAAACCCCAAACCCCAAACCCCAAACCCCAAACCCCAAACCCCAAACCCCAAACACTACCTGGTGGAGGGTGCACCCAGGCATCCCAATCCTTCTATCATCCTCAGGCTGCCGACTTCCTCGCCACTGTGGAGGCCTTCCGCAACTTGCCTCGCACTGGCGCGAGGTGTTTCGTGGTTTAGGGTTTAGGGTTTAGGGTTTAGGGGTTAGGGGTTTAGGGGTTTAGGGTTTAGGGTTGCGGGTTCAGAGCTCTGGAGGGGTTTCATGGGGTGCTGTGGTTCGGCTGAGAGTTCAGTCTTCGGAGTGTTGGTGATATACATGGCCGACGCCAAGTTCTGCGACCTAAGTGTTGAGAGCTTGCAGGGTCGGTCGTGGGAGTTGTCGGCTCGTTGAATGTGTAACATGGGGGGGGGGGGGGGGTCGGAATAATGACTAATAGCATTCCCCTATGGACCCTTCATAGTTATATTTAAAATGACCCCCCAAAAAACCCCATTCGAATTTCTAAGGCCCCTATAGTACCAGTTCCTGCCCTTTTTTTGCATTGAACGCAAGGTGCTTTGAAGATGGCAGCGGACATCCCAAGCATAGTGGCCTGCACGTTTGCAGTGCTACAGCTGGGAAACATTGCCTTCGAGGCGGGTCGGATGTTCCTCTCATGGGAGCGGAGTCTTCGATTCGACCCATTTCAGAAGGGTTTAGGGTTTAGGGTTTAGGGGTTAAGGGGTTAAGGGGTTAAGGGGTTAAGGGGTTTAGGGTTCATTGTTTGCGAACCTGAACGGCCTAGCGTGGTTGAAGACATGTGCCAAACTGCTCCATTACAATGAAGTGTTCCATGGGCAGCGTTCAGCTGCCAAAGAGTTTCGCTGCTTTGAAGGGCTTTTGGCTCGGCTAGACTACAAAAGGATCACAGCGACACGTGATAGGATGCACCTGCATGTCGAAATGTGCTTCATGAAACCCTAAACCCTTAACCCTAAACCCTTAACCCTAAACCCTGAACCCTGAACCCTAAGCCCTAAACCCTAAACCCTAAACTACACAGCTTCCTGGTAGAGCGTCGGCAAATTCCCAAGTAAGCGGCACATACCACTCAAACGTCTTCAAGCCCTCCAACCCTAGCTATAGGCAGAATCGCACAGTCTCTCCACACTTTCAGTTGCGAAAGGCCCATAGCTGTAACTTAAGTTCCATAACTTGGTGGTTTAGGGTTTAGGGTTTATAGGGTTTAGGGTTTAGGGTTTAGGGTTTAGGGTTAGGGTTTAGGGTTCAGCATCTCAAGTCCGAGCATTTACTAGTCAAGCAGCTTGTCAAGCGTTGGAATAAAACCCCACCCACCCAGGAAACCCATAACATTGAGAAAATACAAAGTTCACTCAATACATTCCCAGTAGGCTTAAAGCTCAAGGTCCAGTTAACCCAAAACCGAAATCAAACCTCCTCACTTGCTGGATGGGAATCGGGAGGGTGTGGTGGGAACGGGGTGGGTGTGGGGGGGGGGTGGGGTAGGGGGTGGTGGGGGTGAGGTGTGGGGGGGGGGGGGGGGGGGGGGGGGGGGGGGGGGGGGGGTGGTAGGGCCCTGGGCCGCTGGGGCCATGAAGCCATGGGGCCGGGTGGGCGGAGAGGGAGGAAGCGGGCATGGGGGTAGGGCCCGGGCCGCTGGGCCATGAAGCCATGCGGCCAGGAGCAACAGGCCTAAAGGGGGCGGCTGAAACCATGAATGGGGAGCGGTCGGTGAAGCCATCGGCCATGGGAGCGGTCGGCGGAAACCGTTAAAACTCACGGAAGTAGGGTGCTGGGATGAAGTCATGGGGTCAGAGAGCCATGAGGAGCGGTACTCAGCTTGGGACGTCTGGGGTATCAGAGTGGGGGGATGGGGGGGGGGGGGGGGGGGGGTGAGGAGGGTGGGGGGGGGGGTGGGGTGGGGGGGGGGGGGGGGTGGGGGGGGGGGGGGGGGGGGGTGGGGGGGGGGGGGTGGGGGGGGGGGGGGGGGGGGGGGGGGTGGGGGGTGGGGGGTGGGGGGGGGGGGGGGGGGGGGGGGACGGAAAAAAACAATATGCCGATGAAGGGTGTCAGGGTTTAGGGCCTGCCCGGGGAAGGGCGTCAGGGTTTAGGGCCCCCGCCCGGGGAAAAAAACAATATGCCGACGAAGGGCGTCAGGGTTTAGGGCCCCCGCCGGGGAGAAAAAAAACAATATGCCGACGAAGGGCGTCAGGGTTTAGGGCCCCCCCGTGGAAAAAAACAATATGCCGACGAAGGGCGTCAGGGTTTAGGGCCCCTGCCCGGGGAAAAAAAACAATATGCCGACGAAGGCCGTCAGGGTTTAGGGCCCCCGCCCGGGGAAAAAAAACAACATGCCGACGAAGGGCGTCAGGGTTTAGGGCCCCCGCCCGGGGAAAAAAAACAATATGCCGACGAAGGGCGTCAGGGTTTAGGGCCCCCGCCCGGGGAAAAAAAACAATATGCCGACGAAGGGCGTCAGGGTTTAGGGCCCCCGCCCGGGGAAAAAAAACAATATGCCGACGAAGGGCGTCAGGGTTTAGGGCCCCCGCCCGGGGAAAAAAAACAATATGCCGACGAAGGGCGTCAGGGTTTAGGGCCCCCGCCCGGGGAAAAAAAACAATATGCCGACGAAGGGCGTCAGGGTTTAGGGCCCCCGCCCGGGGAAAAAAAACAATATGCCGACGAAGGGCGTCAGGGTTTAGGGCCCCCGCCCGGGGAAAAAAAACAACATGCCGACGAAGGGCGTCAGGGTTTAGGGCCCCCGCCCGGGGAAAAAAAACAATATGCCGACGAAGGTCATTAGGGTTTAAATATACATAGTAA